TTGCAGTTGCAATGAATAAATCAATCAACAGACCAAATTAGTACTCAGCAATAGCTAAGTAATGGCATATTAACAATGGAATAGGATGTAGCTATATAAAATAATGCAGAAGAATAGATGAGGATGTAGGGAGACATTTTTTTTCTTTTATTGAGTTTATTGGTACATTTAAAGTATACAGTACAACTACATTCATTATTGGGATCTTGTACCTTTACATGACAGGTCTTGGTTCTCATTTTTCCCCCTTGTCCATGCCCTCCCTTTACTCCCTTCTCCCCTCCCCATTTACAAACACTTTATTTCCATTTTTCATTTTGTCATATTTTTCTTTTCCCTTATTACCTTTCCCCTACCCTTCCCATTTTCCCTACACCTTTAGCTCTTTTCTTCCTATTTCACATGGTCAATTATATCATTAGGATCTTATGTACTATTATAGTTTTTCACACCAGAGAAACTATTTGGTATTTACACATGTGTGACTTATTTATTTCACTTAGGAGTATATCCTCAACATGTATCCATTTTCCTATGAGAGACTCTAATTTCTCATTCTTTATGGCTTAGTATTCCATTTTATAGAAAAATCACATCTTCTTTATCCAGTTTCCAACTGATGGGCAAATGGGCTGTTTCCAAGTTTTAGCTATTACAAACTGTGCCGCTATAAACATTGGTGCGCATATATCACTGAGGTATGATTCTTTTAATTCTTTTAGAAAAATATCCAGCAGAGCTATGGCTGGGTCAAATGGAACCTCTAGTCCCAGCTCTCTGAGGTATCTCCATATTGATTTCCATAGTGGTTGCACCAGTCTGCACTCCCACCAACAATGGAGAAGGGTTCCTTTCTCCCCACAACCCCGCCAACATTTGTTATTGATTGATTTCTTGATAGCAGCCATTCTTTGTGGGGTGAGGTGGAATCTCAGTGTTGTTTTCATCTGCATCTCTCGAACGACCAGTCATGTGGAACATTTTTTCATGTTTACTTGCTGTTTTTACTTCTTTGTCTGAGAAATGTCTGTTCATTTCAGTTGCCCATTTTTGAACTGGGTCATTATATTTGGGGGGGCTGATTGCTTTGAGTCCTTTATATATTCTCAGTAGTAGTCCTTTGTCTGAGGAGCAGCTGGTAAAAACTTTTTCCCACATTGTAGGTTGTCTCTTAGTTCTGTTGGTTTCTTTTGCAGTGCAGCTTTTTAATGAGATGAGATCCCACTGGTTGATTCTTTCTGCTAGTTCCTGAGCTACTGAGGTTTTGTTCACAAAGTCTTTTCCTATGCTAATGTCTTCAAGAGTTCTGCCTAACTTATCTTCCAGCAAGTTTAGTGTTTCTGTTTTAATGTTTAGATCCTTCAACCACTTGGATTTTAATTTAGTGCGTGGTGAAAGATAAGGGTCCAGTTTTAATCTTTGGCAGGTTGAAATCCAGTTTTTCCAACACCATTTATTAAAGAGGCTATCTTTCCTCCACTGAGGATGGTCAGCTCTTTGACAAAGATGACGTAGCTGAGTACATCTGGAGTTGTTTTAGTATCTTGCAATCTATTCTACTGATCCTCAGGTCTGTTTCTTTGCCAGTACCATGCTGTTTTTATCACAATGGCTTTGAAGAATAGTTTCAAATTGGGAATTGTTATACCCGCTGGCATGTCTCTGTTGCCTAGGATGGCGTTTGCTATTTTAGGTCTCTTCTGTTTCCAAATGAATTTTTGGATTCTTTTTTCTAGTTCTGTGAAATATAGTGTTGGAATTTCAATTGGCATTGCATTGAATCTGTATAGCAGTTTTGGTAGTATGGCCATTTTCAGTATGCTGATTCTTCCTATGCAGGAGCAGGGGATATCTTTCCATTTTCTTATATCCTCTTTGATCTCTTTTTTCAGAGTGCTATAGTTTTCAGTGTAGAGCTCTTTTGCTTCTTTTGTTAGATTGATTCCTAGCTACTTCATTTTTTTGGATGCTATTGTGAAAGGAATTGTTTCCCTAATTTCTCTCTCAGTGACTCTGTTATTTGCATTCAAGAAAGCTAGTAGAGTTTTTTGGGTCTTCATTGTAGAGTATCATATTGTCAGCAAATAATGACAATTTAACTTCTTCCTTTCCTATCTTTATTAATTTCTTTCCCTTGCCTAATTGCCGTGGCTGTTTCCAGAACTATATCGAAGAGGAGTGGTGATAGTGGGCATCCTTGTCTTGTTCCTGATTTTAACATGAAGGTTTTCAGGTTTTGGCCATTTAATATCATTTTGGCTGTTGGTTTTTCATAGATAGCCTTTATTAAGTTGAGATATAGACCATCTATTCCAATTTTTTGCAGGGTTTTTTATCATGAATGGAAGTTGAATTTTGTCAGATGCTTTTTCTGCATCTATCGAGAGGATCATATGATTTTTGTCCTTGACTCTATTACATTTATTGACTTATGTATGTTGAACCATCCTTGCATCCCTGGAATAAGTCCGACTTGGTCAGGATGTATCATCTTCTTGATGATCCTCTGCATTCTGTTTGCTAGTATCTTATTAAGAATTTCTGCATCTATATTCTTTAAGGAGATTGGCCTGTAGTTCTCTTTTTTAGTTGCGTCTTTTCCTGGTTTGGAAATCAAACTGATACTTGCTTCCAGGAATGAGTTTGGAAGTATAGCTTCCCTTTCAATTTCACTGAAAAGTTTGAAGAGTAATGGCAGTAGTTCTTCTCTAAATGTCTTGTAAAATTCAGCTGTGAATCCATCAGGATCTGGGTTTTTCTTTGTTGGTAAATTTTTAATTACATTTTCAATTTCACTGATTGTAATTGGGGTGTTTAAAATGTTTTTATCTTCTTTGTTCAAATTTGATAATTTATAAGTATCTAGAAATCTGTCCATTTATTCTGTGTTTTCCATTTTGATAGAGTACAGGTTCTCAAAGTAGGTATTGATTATCCTCTGGATTCCTGTTGGATCTGTTGTGACTTCACCTTTTTTATTCCTAATTGTATGGATCTGAGCCTTTTCTTTCCTTTTTTTGATAAGGTTAGCTAAGGGTTTATCAATTTTATTTATTCTTTCAAAAAACCAACTCTTCGATTCATTTATTTTTTGCATTGTTTTCTTAGTTTCCATTGTATTGATTTCTGCTCTTATCTTTATAATTTCCTCTCTTGTTCGAGATTTGGGTTTTTCTTGTAATCTAAGATTCATCATTAGGTTATTTGAGCTTGCTCTGTTTTCCTAGTTGGGCATTCAGTGCTATGAATTTTCCACATAGAACTGTTTTCATTTTGTCCCATAGATTCCTGTATGTTGTACTGGCATTTTCATTTATTTGTAAAAATCGTCTGATTTCTTCCTTAATTTCCTCTGTGATCCATTGATTGTTCAGGAGAGTGTTCAGTTTCCATGAGTTTGTGAAGTTCCTATGGTTTCTTGTGCTATTAATCTCCAGCTTGATTGCACTATGATCTGATAATATACAGGGAATAACTTCGATTCTTTTGCATTTATTCAAAATTGTTCTGTGAGCTAGTATGTGATCTTGGAGAATGACCCATGTGCAGCCGAAAAGAATGTATATTCTGATTTTGTGGGGTGGAACACTATAAATGTCTATTAAGCTCATGCTTTCAAACGTTTGGTTCAATTCTAGTATTTTGTTGTTGACTTTTTGCCTAGATGATCTATTTGTGAAAGCGGGGTATTTATATCCTCCACTACAATTGTATTAGCGCTTATTTGGTTTTTCATGTTTCTTAATATTTCGTTTATGTAGTTGGGGGCATTAGTATTTGGTGCAAATGTTTATGATTGTCACCTCTTCCTCTTGAATTGTTCCCTTTACAAGGATGTAGTGGCCTTCTTTGTCTGTTTTAATCAATTTTGGTTTGAAATTTACTTTGTTTGCGAATAGGAATGTCTGCTTTTTGCTGGGCTCCTGCTGCATGGAGAATTGTTTTCCATCCTTTCACTTTGTCTATGGGCTTCTTTTTGCACTAAGTGTGTTTCTTGTACACAACACATTGTTGGATTTTGCTTGTTAATCCATTCTGCCAGTCTATTTCTCTTGATTGGTGAGTTGAGGCCATTGACATTGATGGTTATAACTGATATGTACTGACTTATTATTGTCATGTTATTGGCCTTTTGTTGACTCTTTTTACTTTTTCGCCTTCTCCTTTTAGTTTCCTCCCTTGCCTATTTTATTTGCTCTGTTGGGCCTCATGGTGTTGTTACCTTGTCTTTTTCTAGGATATTATTTAAAATTGCTTGTAGTGCTGCTTCGGTATTCATGTAGTTTCTCAGGTGTTCTTTGTCGTGGAAGTATCTTATTTCCCCATCCATTTTGAAAGAGAGTTTTGCAGGATACATCAGTCTAAGTTGGAAGTTGTTTCCTTTTAGTACTTGAAATAACTCACTCCAGGCTCTCCTTGCCCCATGGGTTTGTGTTGAAAAGTGCTGTGATTCTGATGGGCTTTCCTTTGCATGTGATTTGTTTCTTTTCTCTTACTGCTTGTAGTATTTTGCTCTTCTGTTGGGTTTCTGGGATCTTGATTATTATATGTCTAGGTGTAGATTTTTTTTGATAGTGGCTAGTTGGGGTCCTATATGCCTCACTTATCTGAATGTCAAATTCTTCCCCTGTTTGGGAAGTTTTCTGTCATTAATTCTGTGAACAGCTTTTTTAGGTCATTTGTATTTTCTACTGCTACTTCATGGATTCCTATCAGTCTTATGTTATTCTTCTTTGCATCATCTAGTTGTTCGATCGATTTCTCATGATCCCCTACTGTTAGCGAGACATTTATGATAAACTGCTGAGTCCAATGATCAGGTTAGAAAACACTGGTTACTAACTGCATGATCCTATTTTTTAAACAGGAACATGTTGAAAATTTATTGTAAGATAAAAATCCCTTTGTAATTTATTTTATAGTATCATTTGTGTATGTGTGACACACTCAGGCAGTCATGGTGCTCAACCTTCTCTTATAATACAAAAATCTGTACTTACTCTTCCAATTTCCGCAGTCCAAGAAACAACAATGGTGTTTGGTACTGTTGTGGACAGTCGGACAAGTGAGGTGATATTAATTGGTCTGCTGGGTCGTTTTGGTTCCACACCATTTTTAGTAGGTGGAAGGTAACCCTAAAAAAGAAATAATTTATTATTCAATTTCAACCATTTCAACTACCATTTAAAAAAAAAAATCCCTACCATCTACTCAGTAGAAAATATGAATGTTTTTACTCAAAGCAGAGTAAACATTTATTTATAAGTTTCCTGTATTATTTCTCTAAAGAATCTTACAATCTCATTATAGTAAGCCTGAATAAAATATCAGCAATAGAAATTCAAAATCTCTGACAGAAACAGGTGAGGTAAGTATATTAAGGATATTTTCAAGAGGACCAAAGACAGCTCCCTCTCTCACCCTACGTAAGGCTTATCATGGTTCAAATCTACATTCCAGTCCAGGCTGAGAGAGTCACACGAAAATAGCTGAGATTCTGTTGAAACAACTTCTCCATAAAAATCCTGCACAATACCAAACCTACCACACCCAACTCAAAATCCACAGCTAATGTCACAGCTGCTATCTGTACACAATTGATGTCAATGTTGCAGCTAGTCACACAAATGCATACCAAAATAAAAACATTTTCTTAAGGATAAACTAAGATTAACAACTGACATGACTTATTTGATAGTTAGGTTGGTAATGTACTTAAAAAACAACTTTCAGGACTTACTGGAAGGCTGCAAGGTTTTGTATTCACTTTCACACAAAGATTGGGTGGGAAGTGATCTTCCTGTGGACAACTGGTTTCAGATAAACAAAACCTAAAAAATAAAGGTCAAGTTTAACTTCCTTTATTAAAGGATAACTTCATTAATATTTCTGTCAACAGCTAACTCAAAAGATGATTAACTTAAAATCAACAACAAAAAAAAGAAAAGCTATTAAAACACCTGGACATTTCCCATAAAGATTAAGCATGTGTAACCGGACTTAAAATAAAAGTAGTAGACCCTTGAACAACACAGATTTGAAAATCACAGGTATATCTAAGCAGATATTTTTTTTCTCTCTCTCTGAAGATCTGCGAAAATCTGGACAGACAAATCAACTACACTGGTGATGCCCAAAATGTCTTAAAAGAATATGTTATGAATGCATAAAATATATGTAGATAATAGTCTATTTTATCACTGACCACCATGAAATATACATAAATTATAAAAAGTAAAAATGTATCAAAACTTATGCACTGTCTGGGGATTTAGTTAAGCGTTTCTACCACCTGCCTCACAAGTGCAACGTCCCTAGTTCAATCCTCAGTACCAAAACAACAACAACAAAACAAACTTATGCACACATAGACTGTACCATTTTCAGTCCAAAGAATGTAAATAGACATAAAGATACAGTATTAAATCATAATCATATAAAACTGACTATAGTACAGTAACACTTTTGTAGCCACTTCCTATTACCATTTCATGGAGCTCAAGTATTACAAGTGTCTGTTTAAAATGCACTGTAAGGGCCAGGGATTGGGCTCAGTGGTTCTGCAGACTGCCTCGCAAGCACAAGGGCCCAAGTTCAATCCCTGGTACCCCCCCAAAAAAAGCACTGTGAGCCATGCATGGCACATGTGCCTATAAACCCAGCTACTCAGGAAGCTGAGTCAGGGGGATCCCAAGTTCAAAGGTCAGCTTGGCCAACTTAGCAAGAGACTCTCTCAAAGTAAAAAATAAAAAGGGTTTGGAGTGAAGGCCCTGGGTTCAAGCCTCAATATCGTAAGCAAAAAACAAACAAAACAAGTGATAATGCCATGTGTAAATGTGTATAAAATGTAGAGTAAATGACTGAAGAAAGCACAGATTACACTTCCTGTATGTAATATGTTATTAATTATAAAGGCATCATATATTTACTTGTACTACCAATACAAAATCCGCTTTGTTGATACCTCCCAAAAATAAGACTTAGATTTTCACTGGTCTACTGGGTTAGGTCCTGCCAGACTTTTTTATGGTTTAAAAGCCAGTGAGTACATTTATATTCTTCTTAGAATCTTCAACTCAGCCTCTTCTCATTTTTTTAACGCTTCTCATATGGAGACAAAGTCTCACTATGTATTTCAGGCTGACCTTAAACCCCCAGGTTGGCCTCAAACTCACAGCAATCCTCTTGCCTCAGCCTCCCGAGTCCTTGGATTGTTAGGTGTGCACCACCACTACTGGCTTGTTTTACACTATTTTTAAGCCTCAATTAGAAGTGTTCATCTTGTTCTATTATATATGAGGCTGGTACTTTCTTTTCTGACCTATTACTGCATTTATAATTTGTACATATAACTTAATATCTGACTATCAAGACTAATTTGTCTTCTCCACAATATAGAAAAAATGGCTTACTTAGGAAAACAATTGTCTTTTTATTTCCTCTTCTACCCTCTATTCCAACTATAACAATGAGGAACACTTAGGTTTGTACCATGGATAGTCATGAAATAATTAAAGCAGAATAATTTTATATAAGAAAGAAACACATATTAACATAAAGACAGAGACAGCCTAAGAAATAAGGGGAAGCTGTGAACCCATGTTGAAAATTTTTCTCTTTGCCACTAAAAACATTGAATAGATGGATCTCAAATGGGTTGAAAATTAGAGCATATTTAAGTTAGTAATTTAAAACACAAGACAGGTCACTCTCTTGCATGGTGACCTGGCCTCAAACTGCAGCATGGTACTCTTCTTTTCCTACTTTTACTTTGCCCAAACTCATTCTGCAGATCACATTTCTTTAATGAAACTTTGCTATTAGGGGAGACAAAAGAGGGAGACAGGGATTAGCTCAGGGGTTCTACTGCCTGCCTTGCAAGTAGATGGACCAGAGTTTGATCCCCGGTACAAAAAACAAAAACAAACCCAGAATGTAAACGACAACACACTAGGCTCTTGGTGTTTTGTTAGCCCATGAGATGCTGCACACAGCAGTATCAGTTCCTTGTCTACAGTAGTTTGCCTCTTATATGCTGTTATGGCTTGTGTCTAGATGTCCCCCGAAAGCCTCATGCAGTCATAGATGGGGCTTTTTCAGAGGTTGCTGAATTTATATGTGTGTGATAGTGGGATTAAGGGTATGTGATTACTACTAAATCAGTCTGACTGATTTAGCACTGCCCTAATCCCAGTAGCCTGGATACAATGTAAGGTACAGAAAGAGACCTGTCTTGTCCCTTGTCTGCTTTTGCTGTCTTCTGTGTTCAATGAACCATTTCTCCTCTGTGATGCCCCTCTGCCATGTGCCATTCTGCCTCAGAGACAGCCAACTATGGACTGAAACCTCTACAGACTGTGAGCCAAATAAACTTTTCTCCTTTAACTTAGAGTTTCTGGCATTTTTGTCTTAGCAATGAGAAAAGTAACTAAGATATATGCATAAGGCTCTTCCTCACACAAACACTGCTCTAAGAGCCAACCACTGTAATATTTAAGATACCACTGGTTGAAGCTCCTCAACCGAGGGCACCCTAAGTGGAGACACAGGTAAATATGGAATACAAGACTTGCTATACTAAAATAAGCTGGATAAAAATTACAGTAGTTCATTAACCGGAGAATGTTTGCCTTGCCCAAATATCTAAATCTGATACTTTCAATACATTTAGTGAAAATCAGGTAGATTTTAAATTAGTCTTTAGGGGAATGGGAATTATCTTTTAAACTTTGGACAGAAGCTATAGTCAACACTGTACCTTAACTGGACCTGCACTGTGAAGTCACATTTGGTCCCGGAAATATCCCTAAAATAAACAGAATAAGAAATAATTATTTTAAAAATATGCACATGAAAGCTGATTCAAAGACACTCTTACTCCAGAAAAGTTTTTAAAAATTATCAGAGATGCAGCTGTTCTCAAACGACACACAGTAGTACCTTGGGTTCACAAATTTAATTTTTTCTATGATTCTAGTCACAAACTAAACTGGACAAGAACCAAATCAAATTTCCTTATAAGGTTGACATTGAACCCAACCAAATACTGAATCTAATTTGGTTCTCATCCAATTTAGTGTGTAACCAGAATACTGGAAAGAATTAAGTTTGTGAACCGAGGTACCACTGTACTATAATAATATTTTCAATACTAATATTAGCAGGACATTAATAAGAACCCACCCAAAACTTTTTTTTTTTTTTTAAATCACTCAAGACAGCACTGGATCTAAAGGCCAGGCTGCATTTACACTTGGAGGCAACTTACATGGAGCTACTGATCTGCTGCACTTGTTGCGGGGTCAAGGCAAAGGCAAAACAGGTTTCTCGAAAGCGCTGACTGTTGTCTGATGCTAAAGAAGACAAGAGTTTTTCTTTTAATTGTCTCTAAATTCATCAATACAGAATAACAAAAAAGGTCTTTAATTAGGACACATTCTAGGTAACAAAGCAACTAAAGCACTGAAAGCTAAGAAATATGCTACTTGTGATATAACAAACAGAAATATACAAAAATGGCTAATTCCAGAAATGGTACAATTAGAATTCTAATTCAGGAGACACAAAAGCAAACAAAGACTAATAAAAATTATCGAACCATATAAACGTCTGCATCCAAAAGCACATTGGGTTTTGCTTTGTTTTTGGTTTTTTTTTTTTAACTGGGGATCAAACTCAAGTCCTTGTGCTTCCCAATCAGGTGGTGGAACCACTGAGCCAAATCCCTGGCCCTTCAAAAGCACATTTGTATACAAAAATACGGATAGCAATTTTACCTAACAGAATTTGAGCATAATATAAACCACTTAAGATACATAGTTTTTGAGTGAGGTAACAAACATACCTGCCTTGAGGGCTGGCAAAGATGAGATGGTATTTGCTATTATTTATTTGGCACTGGGGATCGAACTCGGGTTCTTGTGCTTTCAAGGCAGGCGCCAGACCACTGAGCTAAATCTCCGGCCCAATATTTGCTCTTTAAAACAAGTGAGTTTATCCATTTCTTGAATAACTATAGCATGGAAGTTTTATGACTCTAAAATCCCCATATTGTCATTGTCTCAAAGGAAGAGTTGTAAGAAGGAAGAGAAGAGGTGGGGCAAGAGATGGAAAAAGAGAAAAGGGCAAATAAGCAGGTAGGCAAACACTTGTCGCTTCACGGCAGGGACTCCTAACTATGCAGGTAAGAGCCAAACAATGCTGGTGGCTTTCCATGCCATGTGTAACTAAACCGGTCCTCAGTGCTTGGCACAAAGAAGCAGTGAATGACTAAGAATATAAAAATTTAAGAAATACCAAATTAAACCATTTAAATTGTACTTTTCTAGAACAAAAAGATCCTTAAGAGTTATTATCAAGGAATTCCTGGCCTGAGAGCCATTCAGGACATATGTTGAAAATGCACTGCCAGGTTGATGCTTCTTTATTGTGGATTACATTGTAAGGTGTCAATCTGGCAACGGCCAATCACTAAGGGCCAAAATGCAGAAAAACAACATTTTCCTTGCTCAGCAATGTTAATAGCTCCTTTGCTTCTAAAAAGGATATTTTGCCATTAAAAATTTTAGTTCAGTAGGCTCAGCCTAATTTAAAACTTTGGTTCTGCCAGGCGTGGTGGCGCATGTCTGTAATCCCAGCACTCGGGAGGCTGAGGCAGGAGGATCGACGTGAGTTCGAGACCAACCTGGGATACATAGTGAGTTCCAGGTCAGTCTCAACTATGTAGTGAGACCCTGCCTCAAAAAAACAAAAAAAACAACAAACGTTGGTTCCATTCTAAAACAACGCTAAATAATTTCTCCAAGTACAAAAATTCATATTATTCTCAAGGCAAAACTTCAGATTCATTTTAGAACCTGAAGACTACATTAAGTTTGGACACCCAGAGATTTAGAAAAGATTATGGCTAAAATAACGAGGTTGTCTCTTGTGTCACACATAGAAATCAGGTTTATTACTGAATAATAACCTCTGTTTACATCTGCTTTATATAGAGATTGTAATGCTTGTGGGTTTGCTATCATACTGGAGGGCACACACACTTTTCACACTGTGGTTTCAGGCTTAACTGCAGCTACAAATGCCAGAGACATTGTAGTTGGGTTTAGATAGTCTACTTAAAAATACCTTACTTGGGCTGGGATGGAGTTCAGTGGTAGAGTGTTAGTGTGGCATTCCTGAGCCCTGGGTTTGATTCTCTGCACCACAAAATAAAACAAGTAAATACTTTTCTAAAGTGAACGAAGCTAAATAATTCAGAACAATCACAGATTCTTCATATTGAAAGGAGTCTTACAAAAGTCACTCAAAACAACAAACTTATAGTGCTGGTACTATACAAAGACAACATAGGGATATAGGAAAATGTATGTGCCCACCTGTATCAAGTTAGTATTTTGCATAAAATCTAATTTACAAAAAAAACCCTAAATATTTTATGTATAATCTTAATCTTTTAAAGCTTCTATTTCCTATGTTTTATAATATACATATTAGTAGAAGGGTAATTCCTCTGAGCCTCAATTTCATAATCTGAAAAGGGGGCTGAATCTTCTATATGGTATATGCTCAAGTATTTTGCTGAGAGGCGAATGTGATCAATTAGATTTGCAGGCCACTGTTTTAGAGCCCAATCTTCCTTTCAACCTTTCTATCTGTTCTGTTTGAACCCTATAAGTGATGGAGGAGGAGTTGCCATTACTTTGTCAGGCAGGAAAGATGACTGGTGGTGAACAGTTTAATTGTAAGGAGGCTTACTGCCCAACTGAGAATAGCAAAGCAGATTACACACACTTGGTTTCCTGTTTTACCACGTTTGTGATGGGACTTTAAGTCAGTTTTCTCTGATATTTATACATAATTTACACACACACACACACACACACACACACACACACACCCTCATAGGGTTATTTTGAGGAATATTAGCAAAGTAACATAACTAAAACCACTACCTTTTCTGCTCCCTTTCCTACTTATGCCCTTAATGTAAACCAACTTCTACCCCCTGGTGCCATATAACACTGTCTCTAAACTCACTGTCCAGTGACAGCCAGTCTTCAAGTATCTGAAGACAGCATTAATGTGCCTCTCTATCAACTCTCTTCTCGCTGAAATTTCCAACCATATCATTCCCAGGTTGTCACATACTTACTATAAGGTGAAAGCAAGAATTGCACACACTTTGTCATATATTATTTATTTGTTCAAACTACATGCACTGTCTACACTGTCCCATCCCCACAGGAGAAGTAAGCTTCCAAAGCAACTGACATTACCCTTCCACTCAATGAAATACGAGGGAAGCCTACCACTTCTGGTACAATTTTAAGAGTCATCTTGTGGCTCTGCCACCTTTCTTTCCCTTTCATCTCAGAGAAGAGAACATACAGCACATTCACAGCCACCGGCCGCTAACAAGTGATACAAGTGAGAAATAAACCTTAATTGTTACTGAGCTTTTGTTTGCTTGTAAATTGATTATTCCACATGTAACACAAAGTGAACATTATGTTTACTACTAGTTACTATCTAGTTATTATTACACTATCCAACAGTCATGAGGAAAAGGTATAAATTCCCTTTTCAGATAAGGAAACTGAGATTCACATTAAGTACCAGAATCAAGGTTATATGCTTGTAAAAACAACAAAAATTGGTGTTTCCATTTCCAAAGCCCATAATTTTCTCACAACATGGGTCTATTAACCGCCCTGAACTGAGTCTATACTAATGCAGTTTAGCATCAAACTGGACCACAGAAACTACAAAAACAATTACATATTATGCCTTCATCACAGCCACTTACTATTTTTATGCATTTCCATCCTGTCAATATCAGTCAAATTTGTATATGTGATTTCAAACCTCATTTTAAAAATTATCAATACCACATTGTTCTACTGCAATCTCTATTACCATATTTTTAATTATTGTATTGTATGCATTCCAGCAGGGGACATATGCAAATGTGAATTACTTCCCTGTATGAATCATTTAGGTTGTTTCTAATTTGTCACTATTTGAAACAACTCTGTGAACATCTTTGGGTTTATAGGTTTGTTTTTGGAAACAGAAGTGGGCTGGCTAATTTCTTTGGATCAATTCCCCCTTGTGAGATTTCAGAGTCAAGAAATATGGTGATTTTTATGAATTTTGACACATCACAAGAATGCTCTTCAAATGGTCCTTTTATATGTGAGACCATTAGCAATGTATACATTTCCTTATGAGCCTTTACTCTGGACAGCATGGGAGTTGTTGCTAATTTAATGAGTGGTTCCTTGTAATTCCTTAGTACTTTAATTTGTGTTTATATTTTTTCAAGTTTGTTGTTATCGAGCTATTTAATTAGTCTTGTTCTGTTTGGGTAAGAATTTCATATGTAACACTATTTAAACACTGAGAAACTTGCTTCAGATACCCAATCTGCTACATTTTTTTTCACTTTGGCTACATTTTTGGATAATATAAAATCTTTACACAGTCTACTCTCAATCAGCTCCTTTATAAATTCTTTTACTTGTCCTAAACTCAGTTAAATTTCTTTGTTTTGTAGTGCTGGGAATCAAACCCAGGAACTTCGCGCATGACGGCAAGCACTCTACCACTGAATCTTAAATTCAAACAGTACAATTTGATTTGCTGTTTTTTTATACTTCCAGTTCTACTGACACTATTTGTTAAATAATCCTTCTTTCCCTATAGATTTGATCATATACAATTAGATCCTTAGACCCACCATGTTTCATTTCTGGATTATTTTCTTGTCTTCTTTATATTAGTGCCAGTATTCTGTTTTAAGTTTATAGCTTCACTATACAATATTTTAGCATTTGATCACTAGGTTATTTTTCATCCTTTCTTTTTTCAGAACTATAAAGTATGTTCAAATATGTATTAACCTAAATAAATTTCCAAATCTGTTAGAATCTTTAAAGTACAATGGTGTTTTAAGCAGAATTACAGGAACCGTATACCTTAGTTTCAGACACTGGTATCTTCATATTATTAATCTTCCTATCCCTCAGTACTGTACTGGTGTCCACTTGTTCATATTCTCAAAGCTTAATTTCCATCCACAAAGCTCCCACTAATATCATCCTTATGCAAAATAACGACTACTAGGAAGGTGCCTGAATAAGCATTCATCAATTGTAATATTCTGCAACCAAAAAGAACAAGGAGGATTTCTATGTAAAGGTGTGGGAGTAATCACTCCAAGATATATCAATAAAATGACAGACAAGATAAAGATAAATACAGTATGTGACCTTCTGTTTAACAAAGGATATAACAAAATTACTGGTTGGTTGGTTTTAGAAAAATGAAAACAAGAAGCATACACATAAAA